CAATACCCGATAATCAGACGTTAAAGCACTACAGAGCGCACATTTACTGAAAAGAACATAGATTAATAAAAAATAATTGTCATAGACAGAACGAAGCACCAGTGGAAAATAAGCCAAAGGAACAAACATTAATACGAATTTAAACAAAAAATCCATATAACACTGCAAAAAGTCCTAGCATTTCCTTCAAAATAAACAAAGGCATACAAGAAAATAAGTACGTAGTATATAACTTTTACATGATTATACAGCTTCCAAAAGCCGTGTACATAAAGATTTGAGCCTAAAATGCAACTCAAGATGAACCTTCCTATATATAATCTACCAACATAATCAAACAAAAATGCACAATAACCTGTCTCCTCTTAGTTGTATTACGATCGCATCCCTATCAAGTAAATTTAGCCAATTAGGTATTAAAAGAATCAATTGATCTAGTGCAACTCCTCGTCCAAGAAGACCCGAACAAATCTCATATTGATCCATCATTAAAAAGCCCTTGCAGTTTTTATTATTTTTTTTATTCCCAAACCAAAACCCAGAAAATACAGAAGTATTTAGCTCCAAAAATCCAACCAACGAACAACTGTTGACCAATCATGACTACATGAGTAAGCATAGCAGGCTAAAACAGGCATATCTTGTTACCAAATGATTAAACCTCTAAGCCTACAAAATTAACCCCTTGGTCATCACCAATCTTCTGGTTCACTAAAGACAGAAAGGGAGATGGCAAACTAAACCCTAGACTCCTAGAGAGCCCACATGACTAACATGAGTGAGTCCAGCACCTTTATCATCTAAGAACATTTTTCACCCTCCACATGATTTATCAAATATTGTACCTCCAAAGACATGGTGCCGAAAAGAATACGTATTAATGCCACAATTCATGAAGTTTCACATGAGTGTTACATGGAAATGTGGTGAGTTTTGGTATATGGCACGGGTATGGGAATGCATCTGCTGGGCAATTCCATCAAACTAATAAACAAGTTTACCAATTTACTATGCTCCATGTACCAATTTGCATGTCCCAATTCATGGATTGCAGGAAAGACGGGTAAAGTAGGTGATCATCTCACATTCCCACATAATGGAAATCTTTCAAAAACTAAACACTACCCTCAAGTCTCAATTCAACCAACATAAACAAGAGCTCCAACAGGCAAGAAATTCAAGCGAACACTTCATCTACAACACTAAGTCTAACAATGCTCTATCCACCCACTTCCCCCTGAAAGTCTACATGCATACTTACTCAGTTACTCTTACACTCATTATGCTCCTATGATACAGCTAAGGGTCACATTAATCAAAACAGCATACTGCAGATTCACAAAAACGACAACATGGTAACAGACTAAAACACCAACAACCTTAATCCTAAATGTCAGCAATACTTGAAGCATGATCTTGTCACCCATCAAAAGCAAAGCTGAATTTTCTTCCTACACCTTACAATAAGGTATAATTAACAATTGCACGCAACCTTAACAAATCAAATTCAGCAGTTTCAAAGTCTAATAAGTTACTCAATCCAAACAAAACTCCCAACTCGAAAAGAATACCTAAACTTTAGCGCAGTATCAGTAATCATTCAATTCCGAATCGCCAAGAAACTACAATACATGCACGAAATTCCATAAACATTCAAATAATTTAAAAATTAATACATTATACAATACAAATTCACAATCTAGGGTTAAAAATCCTCCAAAATTTAGTAATTTCAACCAAATAAATCAGGGAATGGACTACTACTACTAAATCACGCAATATCACCTTAATCAACAAAATTAAGCGATTCATTAGCAAAATAAGAAACAGATCTAACCCAGAAAAGGGAGTGAAACTAACCAGAGGAAAATTGGAAGCCGCGACCGACAAAGAAGAAGAGGGGGAAAATAAGGAGAAGAAGGAAGAAAGGAACAATGGAGGAAGTAGAAAAGCATGATAATGATGATGGTGATGCATTGGTTCTACTTCTGGGGGTGTTTGTACTCAATAATCCCCTTTTCGTCGCCATTAAAATCTCGACCTCTCAGCAATCAATAGATTGAGGAGAGAGAGAAAATGAAGGAGAAATCACCCAGATTTTACCCAGATTTCTGAGAAATTGGGAATTTCAATTGGAAATTAATTGAGTGTGGGTATTTACAAGCTAAATTTGCAGAAAGAGAGAGAGAGAAGGGTGGAAGATGAAGCGGCTTGTGAGAAAGGAGGAGTGAGAAAGAGAGAGAAGAGTGTTATAATTTTAATTAAAGCGTCAATGAATTAATTGAGGTGAACATTTGGAAAGGGAGAGGCTGAAAGGAGGTTATTGACGATTTCTATTATACAATCGGTTGGATGTGTAATTATTCAATCGATTGGATGTGTAATTATTCAATCGATTGGATGTGTAATGAGCTAGGTATTGCAAGTATTTTGGTAAGAAAAAGGGATAGGGGAAAGGAATTATCGGAAATTGTACAATCAATTAATGTGTAAATGTGTAATAGGTTACATAATAAGAGTACTTCGTCACGACTATTGTATTATATTGGGGAATTTTTTTTTTTTTTTTGTTTGATTGATTATATATGAAAAACGAAACAGTTAAAGATTTCTTTTTGATTGATGATAATTAGAAAAAACATTTTGATTAGGGTTTGTTACAAGCTAAGGAACAAACAACATTGATAATAAATGAAAGTAGATGCATGCACACCATTAATTGGTAAAATTGCGTAACAAGTTTTGTTTTTCTTATTAAGGGTCTGTTCATATTTACTGAACTGAACTAAACTAAACTGATTGGAGTTGAACTGATTGGAGCTTAACTGAACTGAACTGATTAGAGCTGAACTGAACTGAACTAATTAGAGCTGAACTGAACTGAACTGAACTGAACTGAAAATAAGTAAATATGAACATGCCCTAAATGAATCATAGATTTATAGTCATAACTTGAAAGTTTTCGATTGTTTCAAATTTGGTTTTTCTTTTATTTAATTATTCTTATGATTAGTACTCTACATTTTCACTACCAAACCTTGCATGATTAAACATATATTTAAGGTGGTCATAATTGAATCATCATAGATGTAAGCATTAAAGTTTTTTTCCTTTAATACTGAGAATAAAATATGTTACCTTTGCTATTGTTTATTAGTCATGTCCTATAATTTCTCTAATGATTACAGAGTACAAAGTAATTAATTGACGTATACATATACCCTTGTTTGATACGAATCGCATTACTATAAAACATTAAAAGTTTAAAACCCATTCACCCAAATAGTCATCTTAAAACGCAATGTTATATATTTAAGTACATTTTTTACATAAATTAGCCAAGTACTCCATAGTTAAGTAGTAATTTAAAGTTAACTACTCGTATATGATTTGATTAGGGGACCATCGAGCGACGTCGTATTCAATCCAACATCAGCCTATGTCGGCAGTGTCTACTCATACACACGTGTTACACCATAAATCAGGACTAATAAACAGGGATTTGATTGATTATAGCATTAATATTACGGAGTAGCTATTTTTAAAAACGACATTAAATTTAATTTCATTATTAAATCCTAAACTTTCTTAGAACAAAAACAGCCATACATATATCATATACTCCGTACTAAGTACTCGTAAATCTTTGGTCAAAAAAAAGTACTCGTATTTCATATCCCTTTATTTCATACTCTGTATCAATAATACTAATACTATTACGACTTACGAGTACTAGTTAATTAGTTATACCTTATACTACAAGTCTACAACCACTATATAGGCAGATAATTTAAGCTTTAAGAGCATGCCCTTTAATAGTAGTATCCTTGGTCATAATAGACATAACCACCATACATAGCACGGTGATCATGACGGCCATAAGTGCCATCACCACCATACATAGTTTGATGACCATGATACGGGTTCCCTGATCCATGACCACCACCATCGTCACCATGTTTAGGAAAGCTTTGGTTGTAATGATCTCTTCCCCACACGTTCAATTCCAGTGCTTCTTGTATATCATACGGCTCCCTCTTAGGTTCTCTCGATTCATGGGCATAGTTATGACCACCCCAACCATTCATATTTGCGAATGATCAATTGAATTGTGCGGAGAAATAGGCTGAGCTCTACATGGTATTTATAGTGGCATCCCTTCTAGTTTATGACTTCTTTGCATCGGATTCTTTACTATTATTTAATTCGTATCATATTATGCAATGAGATTAGTATATATCCTACACTTGGAGATTATTCGGGATAAGATTTCGTAGATATTGATGTGATTAAGCAGGGAACAAGAGCGGAATCTTGGATACGTGAATCTTGATCCGACCACCATAACCATCTACGGAGTAATATTTAACAAGCGGTCGTATGACCATAAGACATATACTACCACAAACACATACGAACATGTTAATACTACATAAAGATACCACACAATGACAACTATTATTGTTTTTCTACCCAGAATTGGAATTTTTTTGGGCAACATTCAAAAAGTTGATTTACAATTCTGATTCTCCTGTCTTTAAGACTTTAACCTTCCTTGAAAGGAAAGTAAATATGCTTGCTTCCACTAAAATGCTAGAAAAATCTGAACAAAAAAATCTTGTGTTTGAAGCAACATGTAATAAAGTGATGCTAACTCAATCCTCACTATGCGTTGAAATTTCAAGCTGCTGCATTCTCGGGAGGACAGTGTCGCATGGATAGACTTAATTATTTATTTAAGATACAATTTCATTGAATTATTTGAGCGGAGTTATTTTATCATTTTTCCCTCAAAAAATAAAAATATAGCAGAATATTGATTAGTGAAGTAAAGTTGCTTACTTAAGTTGATGCTTCAAATGAGATGGATCTTGCTCTTCAAACCAATAAGAACCTCATATGCCACGTCCTGACTCCTGAGTCCTGACATGTAGTGTAGTCTTATGACCTTGCTCTAACCTGTCAAATAATCTAATAAACAGCATTAACTGCTGCATGTTTCATGCAGACTATAGATATATATCTAGTTATCAAGATCCAATCCGCAAGAAGCCAAGTATCAGTGGCCAGTATAAGGTTGTGAACTTGCTACTCAATGAGCACCATAAAATTGATACTAAATCACACGAGCCACAATGTACAGTACAGGGTTAAACACTGTTACCATCCTCATAAAGCTAACCAAAGCTGGAACGAGTATATACCCATTTCATTTAATATATGCACAGGGGCAAAACAAGTATCTTTGGAGATTATGTGCTAGATAATGTGCTTAAATATTCTTCTAACAGGACAGTTAATCACCACAGGAGCTGTAAAGCTTCCAAAAGACTAATTTCAGCGTCCCAAATCTATTGAGTAGAATAACAACCATGGATAATCTTGGTCCTGACAAATAGTTAGGTTAGCGAATTTATGCTGTAGGAGATCAGTCTAAAAAATTGCCACATCCAAGTAGTCTCCAATCTGCAACCATGAAGATTAAGGAACACTGAGTGCTAACTAAAATATCGAATGAAGTAGAGCATCTTTTGAAATTCTGTAGGTAAGCAGGTGGATTTAAGTTCTAGAATACCTGTAAACCAAGTTGAGCCAATGCTTTTCCATCATCTATCTCCCTGTTACCATATGAAAATGTTTTCCCCACCTTCATGAATCACGACAGAAACAATAACATTAAAATTACTCCAAGGGAAGACCCCACGCAGCATAAGAAAAAAATAATGGTTTGATGCCAGAACGTAACAGTAATTAATAAATGACCAGGATGAAAGTAAGCTGTCCTAAGTTTCTTATTTAGCTAGCTGAAATGTCAAAGTCATTTGCGTAGAAAGGTAGGTGAGAAGTATGTCAAATTCAAGCAGTGTAGTGGCAAGCTGGTTGAGGAACTTACAGGTCTAACCACTACATGACCTTGTTTTCCCGGGAACACAAAGGCAAAAGACAATCTTGCATCTTTCCTCCTAGCTGCTGGGGTAACTTCCTTTACCTATATGGAATAAAAAATAGAAAAAGGAAAGGAAAAAAAAAAAGGGATTTCGGTGTCAATATTTTTCCATCAAACTGAGACAGACAGACAGGAAGAAGCAACAAATGCATCATAAAGATTTAACTGCAGGAATAAATAAAATTAATGTTGATAGAAAGGCAACAAGAATTCCTTGATGCTGTCAATCCCTGTCATCAATATAGAGAGAAAAAAATTACATACATCCACATAGATCCCATAACCATTCTAGAAGGTAGTATCGGCATCTCTAGATCACAGCAGAGGTACAACTCAAAAACTCAGCCACATACATAGGAACAAATGCGCACAGAAAGCAACATTATGATAAAGGACAACTGCTCATTCCATTCGAAGCTAAATAATGAAATAAGCAAATGTGAAGTTTCTTCTTATTACTTATCTACATTAAGTAAGAATTAACACTCAAAGGGGTCTCTTCTCCTATCTTATTAGAAACATTATGCAAGAAAAAGTTTGGAAGTCCTAAAAAATAATTCCTACATGATAGGTAAAGGCTATAACAGCTTGTGTTGGAAGACCATGACATAAGGCTAGTTATAGACAAGGATGATTCCGTACAATGTGAGGAACTTGGAATGAAATTATTTCTATAGAAAAAATATGTCCATCAAGCTTGTGGAACCATATATAGGCATCATGCATTAAAGCTACATTGGTATTATATCATAATTGCCAATACAGTGTAGTTTCAGACTTTCAGATAGTCCAGAAGAGAATAGAAAGACCAGCTAAAATGGCTACCAAAAAAAAACCACTGTGGATTTGTTTAATTAAATTGTTCTTAGAACAATCCAAAGTCACATAGATCAACCATTGAGAAGTTCAAGCCACATAACACGTAATCCCCCCCCCCCCCTCCCCCGGCGTCCTAACCCAATATTCTCCTCCCTCAGTATTACTGGTATTGAGACAAGAAGAAGAAGCCAAAACCTAACATCACACTCATTCACAGAAATAAAGAAATCGAAAAAGGGGGTTATGGTGTCATGGATACAGGTAAGAATAGAAAGTCTTAAGCTAACTGCTAACCAGATCAGTTAACTCTTGTAGAGTAGCATCCTTCCAAGTATAAATTTGAAATTCATTTTTTGGCAACTGTCCTCTTCCTGCAAAGTCTTCCCTGCTATGATGACTCCCAACCTGCAAAAATTAAAGCCACTATATTATGCTACAAATAAAGTAAGAACTAAAGCTCAGACCCCGGCTTCTATCGGAGTTTGATTCTCATTGAGTCTAACATCAAGGAAAGAGTTTATAGGAGGGTGTTTAATGGTGTTCACCCTCGGCAGGCTATAATCTCAATTCCTAGCCACGCAAACTTACATACTTCATTGTTTAAACACCAAGAAACATAAAGCTGATGGAATCACATTAAGGGGATGTTTGGTATGAAAATTTGCAAAGTAGGAAACGTAAACAAATAAGTGTTTCCATTTCTATTAGTTTGGTATGAGCTGCAAGTAACAAATACCGTTTTCAAAGGGTAACAAAATCCCCCAAATTGTTACCCTTATCCAACTAGTGGAAACAAAATGTGTTTCCCTCCTCGATCATAAACTCCCCAATTTGTTTCCATTCCATAAAGATACCGAACATATATCAAAGGTAATGTGTATCATTACCCTTTCCCTTACTTATATAAATCCTTTCCATTCCGTTTACGAAATTCATACCAAATGCCCCCTAAGACTAAAGAAAGAGAAAGAGTGGGAAATAGGCAAAGTACCTTAGTGAAAACCCGAAGCAGAAAAGGGCAAGTCTGCAACCACAACAAGAAATATATTACAAACATATAACAATTGGGCATATCATCAACAAAGTAAATCAACATCATCCTTTGAAAACAGTGAAAGAGGAACAATGAAATCCCAACCTCAATTTCACATGAATCAAACTAGAGGAACCCTAAATAATGCAGAAGAATTAGACGACAGATTATGCTGGAGTAACCCTAAATCAACCAACAAAAAAAGGGGGAAATGGAACCTTTTCGCGACCGACGTAGAATGGACGTTGAGGAAGCGCGTTAAACGGCGGAGGTGGACGTTGCGGCATTCTCCGGTGAACTCCTGCTGCTCCCGCCATTTTTCTGTCTCTCTGTCTTCTCTACTGCTGTCCTTTTTTTTTTACTTTTTGGAGTGTTTTCTTAAGTTTTGGGTTTGGGTTTGTGCTTGTACCGATTTCATAGGCCCTGTTTAGTAGTTAGTTTATTGGGGGTATATTATATTATTTGACTAACTTTAACTGATTGACTAGTCAAACAAGCTAATACAAGTGTTTGGTAGTAAGCTTATTGAAAGAGTTTATTCCACTAAATAAGTTCTTTTTGAAAAAGCTCATTTTAGGAGCTTTTTCAATTAGCTTATTCATTAATTATTGTGAAATGACACTTATAACCTCATTTAATTTAAAATTCTATCTAAACTACCTACCCCACAATTAGCTTATTGGTCATTTCACATACTCAATCACCTTTAAGCTATCAGCTATTTACCAAACACTTTTATATAATCAGTTAATACAATAAGTTAGTCAAATCAGTTAATAAAATCAGCTAGTCAAAATCAGCTAACTCAATCAGCTTCAGCTTTCAGCTTTCTCCCAAACAGGGCCATAATGATTATATATGGTTCTAAACGATATTATATGATCTCGAGATATATCCCTTAAAATCTCAAGTCTTTTCAACACTAGGCCCCGAAACCACCAATATTTCTCAAAAAATGTGGATATTAGCCTTCAATTTTGGACTTTTTTTTACTTTTTTCCACTAGGAAATAAAAATTGCCGAAATGTTTACCATGGTCTCTAATACCCTCCAGGAGTCCAGATGGCAGCGTGGAACCATTCAATTTGCCTTTAAACGACCAATTTACCGGTTTACGACTTACACCGATTTCATTAACTCAAGCTTTCCACGAACATTTATGACAACATATAATGATCATATATGGATCCAAACGGAATTATATGACTCCGAGATGTATCCCCTAAAATCTCAATGCTTTTCGACAACGGACACCGAAACATTCGAAATTTCTCAAAAAAACGTGGATATTAGCCTTTAATTTTGGATTTTTTTGACTTTTTTTTCGCCCGCATTTATAAAAATTGCCGAAATGTTTACCATGGTCCTAAATACCCTCCGGGAGTTCAATTGGGTCGGTGAAACCATCAAATTTGCCTTTAAACGACCAAAATACCAGTTTACAACTTACACAAATTTCATTAATTCAAGCCTACCACGAACATTTATGACAACAAATAATAATCATATATGGTTCCAAACGGCATTAAATAACCCTCAGAATTATCTCCTATAATTTCATGACTTTTCGACACCGGGCCCCAAATCCTCCAAAATTTCTCAAAAAACGTGGATATTAGCCTTCAATTTTGAATTTTTTGACTTTTTTTCGCCCCCAGAAATAAATATTGCCGAAATGTCTACCATGCTCCCTAATACCGTCCGAGAGTCCCATTAGGTTGGTGGAACCATCCAATTTTCCTTTAAACGACCAATTTATCAGTTTACAACTTGCACCGATTTCATTAACTCAAGTCTACCACGAACATTGATGACAACAAATAATGATCATATATGGTTCCAAACGGCATTATATGACCCCGAGATATATCCCCTAAAATCTCAAGTCTATTAGACACCGGGCCCCGAAACCTCCAAAAATTTTAAAAAAACGTGGATATCCTGCAATTTTGGATTTTTTTGATTTTTTTTGCTCGGAAATAAAAATTCCAGAAATATTAACCATAATCCTTAATACCCTTCATGAGTCCAATTGGGTGGGTGGAACCACCAATTTGCCTCAAAACGGTCAATTACCGGTTTACAACTTGCACCGATTTCATTAATTCAAGCCTACCACTAACATTTATGACAACAAATAATGATCATAAATGGTTCCAAAAGACATTATATGACCCCGAAATATATTCCCTAAAATTTTAAGTCTTTTCGACACCAGGTCCCGAAACCTCCAAAATTTCTCAAAAAGCGTGGATATCATGGTCCCTAATACCCTTTGGGAGTCCAATTGGGTGGGTGGAGTCATCCAATTTGCTTTTAAACGACCAATTTACCAGTTTACAACTTGCACCGATTTCATTAACTCAAGCCTACCACGAACTTCGATGACAACATATAATGATCATATATGGTTCCAAACGGCATTATATGACCCCGAGATGTATCCCCTAAAATCTCAATCCTTTTCAACATCAGGTCCCGAAACCTCCAAAATTTCTCAAAAAGCGTGGATATTAGCCTTCAGTTTTGGAATATTTTGACTTTTTTCGCCTAGAAATAAAAATTGCAAAAATGTTTACCATGGTCCCTAATACCCTCCTAGAGTCCAATTGTGTGGGTGGAACCATTCAATTTGCCTTTAAATGTCGAATTTACCGGTTTACAACTTGCACCAATTTCATTTACTCAAGCCTACTACGAACATTTATGACAATATATAATGATCATTTATGGTTCCAAACGGCATTATATGACCCCGAAATGTATCCCCTAAAATCTCATTTCTTTTCGATACCGGGCCCCGAAACCTTCGAAATTTCTAAAAAAAAACATGGATATTAATTAGCTTTCAATTTTGGAATTTTTTGACTTTTTTTCGCATGGAAATAAAAATTATTTCCGAAATGTTTTCCATGGTCCCTAATACCCCCCGAAGCCCAATTGGGTGGGTGAAACCATCCAATTTGCCTTTAAACGACCAATTACCGATTTACAACTTGCATCGATTTTATTAACTCAAGCCTACCACGAACATTTATGAAAACAAATACTATCATATATGGTTCAAAACGATATTAGATGACCCCGGGATTTATTCCCTAGAATCTCAAGGCTTTTCGATACCGGGCCTGAAACCTCCAAAATTTCTCAAAAAGCGTGGATAATAGCCTTAATTTTGGAATTTATAGACTTTGCCCGGAAATAATAATTGTCAAAATGTTTACCATGGTCCCTAATACCATCTGAGAGTCCAATTGGGGGGGTGGAACCATCCAATTTGCCTTTAAACGACCAATTTCCTGGTTTACAACTTTCACCGACACTACTAGAAAACAGCTAAATTCCGACGGGATTTTTTTGTCGGACGACAAATTCTGCCCAGGAAAGTCCGTCGAAAAATTCCGACGGAAAGTATTCCGCCGGAAAATTCAATTAAAAAAACAAAAAAAAACTGCACCCCCACCCTTCAACCACCAGCCCATACCTTATAACCACCAGCCCCCACCCAAAACCACCAACCCCCACCTTATAACCACCAGCCCCCACCCAGAACCACCAGCCCCTATCCCAACCACAACCGACACTACCACACCAATAATGAACCCCAAAAAACGAAAATCAATCCCGAAAACACCAAAAAACGAAAATTAAACACCAAAACACAAAAATCAACCCCAACGAAACGAAATCCCCCCAAAAAAATCGAAAATTAACACCAAAATCGAAAATTAGCCCAAGCATCTTAAAATCGACAACGAAATCGAAAAAATCCACGCAAAATAAAATCAAAACCTGTAGATCTACAAATTTAAACAGAATTTCGTCTTAAAAAATGATAATTTTATTACATGAAATATATAAATATACAATTATCCAATAAAATTCATAAATTAACATAACAATTACAAAAAAAATTAACTATATCTACAATTACAATTATTGTTGGGTCGTTGTTGTTGCTGTTGCGTGGTTGTTGTTGCGTCGTTGCGTCGTTGTTGCTGTTGCGTTGTTGTGTCGTTGTTGTTGTTGGTTGTTGCAGTCGACGGTGGTGGACAAAGAAAGAAGAGGATGATGGAGAGAGGCAAGATAAAGATGAGAGGAAAGGGAAGAGGAGAAGATGGAGAAAAACTAAAGGGAGGAAAGGAGAAGAGAAGGACTGAATGAGAGGAGGGGCAGAGGGAAAAGAGGAAAGAGAAGAGGAGAGAGAAAGGAAATGAAAAATCAGAAAGGGAAAGTGAAAAGAGGCGTGAGGAGAGGAGAATAGATGAGTTTGATATTTAGGGTTTTTTTTAAACAAGTAATTTTTTTAAAAAATAAATAAATAAATTCCGACGGAAATTCCGTCGTAAATTTTTGACGGGTATAAATTCCGTCGTAAATTTTCGACGGATACAAATTCCGTCGGAAAATTAAATTACCGACAATCCGTCGGAAAGTACATATTTTCCGACGGAATAATTCCGTCGAAAACCCGTCGAAAATTTCCGACGGAATTGTTTATTTCGTCGAAAATCGGAAATATTGGTATTTCCGACGGAATTTCATGTCCGTTCGAATTCCACCTGATTCTTGTAGTGCGATTTCATTAACTCAAGTCTACCACGAACATTTATGACAACAATTAATGATCATATATGGTTCTAAACGGGCATTATATGACCCCAAGATGTTTCCCCTAAAATCTCAAGCCTTCGACACAGGGCCCTGAAACCTCCAAAATTTCTCAAAAAACGTGGATATTAGCCTTCAATTTTGGAACTAAATACCCTTCGAGAGTTCAATTGGGTGTGTGGAACCATCCAATTTGCCTTTAAACAACCTATTTACCTGTTTATAACTTGCACCGATTTCATTAAATCAAGCCTACCACGAACATTTATGGCAACAAATAATGATCATATATGGTTCCAAACGGGGGCATTAAATAACCCCGAAAAGTATCTTCTAGAATTTCAAGACTTTTCGAGACCAGGCCCCTAATCCTCCAAAATTCCTCAAAAAGCGTGTATATTAGCCTTCAATTTTGAAATTTTTGACAATTATTTTTGACCGGAAATAAAAATTTTAAAAACGTTTACCATGGTCTCTAATACCGTCCGGTAGTCCTATTGGGTGGGTGAAACCATCCAATTTGCCTTTAAACGACCAATTTACCGGTTTACAACTTGCACCGATTTCATTAACTCAAGCCTACCACGAACATTTATGACAACAAATTATGATCATATATGGTTCCAAACGGCATTATATGACCCCCAGAAGTATCTTCTAGATTTTCATGACTTTCGACACCGGGCCCTAAATCCTCCAAAATTTCTCAAAAAGCATGGATATTAGCCTTCAATTTTGAAATTTCTTTATTTTTTTCACCAAGAAATAAAAATTGTCGAAATTTTTACCATGGTCCCTAATACCTTTCGGGGGTCCAATTGGGTGGGTGGAACCATCCAATTTGCCTTTAAACGACCAATTTACTGGTTTACAACTTGCACCGATTTCATAAATGCAA